CCAATTTAAAAAAAGTACCTAATTTAAAACTAAAACGTGACCTTGAAATGCTACGACGTTAAGTCTAAGATGTCTCAGCTCAAGCATCCTGAGAAGATCTTAAAATGACAGACCGGCTTGGTTTGAAAACAGCTCATCCAATATTTATCTCGACAATGTTAATTTACCTTTAAATAAGTACCACCAGTGTAATGGACCTACTTAATGATAATCTATATATATAAAAGAAAGTCGTGTTAGTTACACTATTTATAACTCAAGAACGGCTTTACCGATATGGCTGAAAATTGGTGAGGAGGTTGCTTAGAGCCAGGAGACGGACATAGGATACTATTTATTCCGTATTTTTATTTTTTTTTGTATCGGCGTCGATCCCCAGATGACAACGGTGGAACTGTCACAACAAAAGTGAAAAGAATGGATTTCGTTGTCGACAACAGTTGGATTGTTCCATATTCGCCACTTATTTCTAAAACGTTCAAGACACATTGCAACGTTGAGTATTGGTCGGAAGACCATCTGCGTCGTTTGTTTTTGCGCCTGATAAGAAAACAAAAAATATCGTGTATCACAAGGTACTTAAGTGAAGAGCAACCTATGTACTGAAATGCAGAAACAATAATTAATGATTAATGTACTTAATTTTTTTTTCTAAGAAATTAATTAACTTACTAAATTTGAAAATCTGCTTATTTATTGCCTTTAAGGCGGAACAGAGTTCGCCGGGTCAGCTAGTAATTTACTAATAATTTAACACATCTCACTTTGGCCCAAACTAGCAAAAGGCTGTGGTATGGTAACCAGACTGCTGATAAACATCCTTATATATTTCTAAATACATACATATTATAGATAAATTACACCTAAAGACAGAACAAATGGTCGTGCTCATCACACAATGTTTGTACTGGGTGGTAATCGCGCCCACGACCTCCGGATTAGCAGTCCGGGTCACTAACTAATAGACCAACAGGCCCGTCAATGAATAGGCTTGTATCCACTAATAACAAATTGCTTGGTTTATAGTTTCAAATTATAAATGAAGAGACATAGAAAAGAAAAAAAAACAGTATTTCTCATAAAAGTTAAAGATAAAAAAAACTAACAAAATAGGCACTAAGTCACGTGACAGCGAACACCAATCAGAAAGTGTTACGTCACGCCACGCAAAACATCATTGTTGTTGTTGACGTTTTCATACAACAGAGCAGGTTACTCCTTAGTTTTTCGTTTTTAGCATATTTAAACATTTTTGTTTCGCAGACTGTGACGTCATACAAGACGCCATGACACTATTCAGCGTTTTCAAGGGAAATTTTAATTATTTTTTTTAATACAATATACTTAATGTAAATATTGCTTTTTCTTTAAAATATAGGTTTTTTGGGATAAAATAGATATTAAAGTATATAATTAACCAAGTTTTCAAATTGAGTCAACTAGCCTATTGTAATAAACTGTATTTTCACCCCTAAGAGTAAAATTTATTCTTCAAATTAGAAAAATGGAACCAAACGGGAGATATGACATTTCAAACAATGAAATCAGTTCCCAAACGACAGAGTTCTGAGGTAATAACGTTAAAAAACAAACAGCCGAATTGAGAACCTTCTCCTTTTTTGAAAGCGGTTAAAAAGTCAATAGTGGGAGAGCCATCTTTCAGCCAGGTATACATGGGCAGATAATTGAATTCACGTGTTTTATTATATTGTTACATTTTATTATTGTTTATAAATTGTTTCGGTATCTGTATAGTGTTTATTATTAAAACTATAATATAAAATATAACATACTATTTATTTTATGATTTACAAAACAGGTGTCAACTTTAATTTTTCTATGGTTTAGACTCTACAGGCGTCTCTTGAAAGCACCATGTGATTTTACTAAAATATTTTTATTCTACATTCAAAAAAATACATCAAATCATACCTTAATATCTCCGTTAGACTTTATTTATTCTTTTAATTTTCATGTTCTTTAAGATGACTCGTACTTTTTTTTTATTAATTTCGAAGACGTATACACTCTGGAACTAACTCGCGTATACTAACTCTGTTCGCATATAAGAGGCGAGTTCCTCGCGCGGCGTGTTCGCATTTTTTTGTGTTAAATACAGCATGTTGTTTTATTTGTTCAGTCTAAAACATTTTTTTTAAACAATATTATACATGTGTCAATGGGCCGCGGTAGCTGCTTACCATCAGGCGACCCGTCTGCTCGTTTGTCCCCTTATACCATAAAAAAAAATGTTGAGTACTCTTTTTCGTTTTGAAGTTCGCTAACTATTGAAGCTTACGCGTGTAATACGGCAAAAATAAAGATAATCGGGTGACCAACTGAAAAAAAAAGTTGCTAAACCAGTTTATATATTTAGAGTTTTTAATAAAGTGTCTAAGTCAATTCGCGAATTGCCACTATCTAAAATGAAGGCTGATTTGAAAAAAATGGCTGATACAACAAACTTTTTATATCATGAACGAATTTCTGTATCTGAATGTCCGAAATCTAAAGTAAATTAAATTGCTGACGACTGCACGGATGGCATAGTGGTTTCAGCGGTCGCCACGCTGCTTCCTACTACGCTGTTGTAGGTTCGATCCCCACATAGTTATTGTCTGATCCACAAATTGTTGTTCTGAGTCTGGGTGTTTTTTGTGTCCGTTTCTTGTATGTTTGTTACGTCCCCCGCGACACAGGATATATATTCCTAATACGGGAGTTGTCGTTTAAAAAATAAGAAAAGAAAAACTATAATTTTATTGAATTTTAAATGTTGAACCATTTGACATTAATTCACCTATTCTATTTTCATTTCCATCTATTTAATAAATAATGTGTGCATATCTAATAATGATTATTTTAATTTAGTTGAGCGTCTTAATTTTTAAATTTAAAATGCAATTTTAATGTAATTTGTTTTGTAATGTAATGTAATTTAAATTTAAATTTGCATGACAATATTGGCGAAATTTGTGATTCAGTACTCCATGTAACATCCATAAATGTACCACATTTTTTTGCAAATAAATTATTATTATTTTTAAATACACTTAATGGTAGTAAGTAGTAAATTATCCGTTACAAAATTGTATTCGAAACTTGAACAAAAATTTTTTCGTCATTTCATGCACACTTAGAAACAGTCTGTATAACAAGTACATAAGAGCTAAATTAACTCGTGAGACATCTGTTATTGTTCTTCTCAGTATGTCAATGCTAAGAAAACATAATGTGATTGCGTGTTTTTGATATAATTCATACCATTATAACATTTATAAACGTTTATATAAAAGCTATATAAACAGTTTACCTACTCCTCTTTGCGAAAATGTATTGAATGGGGAATATTTTCCATCACGACGTATTTGTTGGGACCAAGTTGGATCCAAAACTTCCTTCTGGAAGGAGCTTGGTTGGCCCACCTAGCCAACCTCTTCTAGACGCATAAGGGCTACTCTCGGACCTTGGACCAATAGCCTAAATATTAAATTTGTCTTCAATGGTATCCGTTCGTGTTTTTTAAAGTATTTTCCATTAAATAAGTGCCTATTGAAAGACCACATATTTTTTCTTAAAACGAATCTCGAACATGTATTTCGATCTCGATCCTCGAAAATATTAGATTACAAATTCATCAACAGCCTTTAACAGTCCACTGCTGGAAATAAGCCTCTTCTTAGAAAGGAGGTTTTGGCCTACTATACCACGGGTTGGTATAGGGTTTATTTCAAGTTTTCCTTCTCTTTGCAGTGCTGTTATCCTGCGTAGTTTACTCCTTTAGTCGGCTCCCGACACCCACGGGATGAATAGGGGTGGTGACACTCTGTATTCTTAATCTGTCACTACACGTTTCGTATTACAAATATCTCAATATTAATATTACAAATTATCCTTAAATAGCTATTGTTTTAGCTATGTTTGTCAGTATAATTGTTTTACATGTTTAAATGTCAGAACGACCATTAGTTCTGCGTCAGTACACTAACCCGTTGGACTCTAAATCATACCAAATAACGGTTTGATAGATTCTTATTTCCTCTTTAGACACATACATTTCAACAAAAATAACAATTGATACAAATTATTTGCGAGAAGTTATTACCACAATACCAGAAATATTTGACGGAATTTATTTGAAACGCTTTTAATTATGATGACCATAATCATCAACAACCTTTAATGGTCCAAAGCTGGGCATAGGCCTCTCCTTCAAATGGAGGTTGAATTTTATAAGCTTAAAATTGTTGTACGCTGCTTCTGTTTGATAGTTAAGATAAATAATTAGGTGCCACATCATCAAATCAAATCCAACTATTTATTTGTGTAATGCGCAATACAGCTTGATCCTTTCGTTTCCTAGATGAATGATATCATCAAAGATCAAACAGATTGAGTATTTGTTTACACTTGTTTACAATAGAACATACTGTGTCTCGTAAATGTGTTTATTAGTTCTTTGACGACTTGATTGTGTAAACATGAGCACTATAGTTTATTATTTAAAACAATGACGCATCAAAATGATCAAAATGTCACGTTAAATTTTTGTAGTAAACATTTATTTAAATTTCTTAATATAATCGATCGATTTTAAGTTTTTTATCGCTTTTCTGTTCTAGTTGTATATTTATCTATTGCTGTTTTATTTTACTTTGTTACATACAATACATACGTAATTACGCGTTTTACGTTTTTTTATGGATTCATATTTTACCAAGTCATCTAAGCGTACGTAACTTGCTATGTCAAGAGGGTCCAGAGGCGTTATGGAGATCATATTCTCTGGGCGAATAAAATTCAGACTTAGACTCCGATTTTATCACATTAATTTTTCATTATTTACACCTGAAACTCCTTAAAATTATTATTAAAATACGTTTTAGTTGATTAAAACAGCATTCATTTTGTAATTCTGCTAAATATTAGGTAATATTTTAATATTAAGTTGAAAATATGCACAAACGAATTTAACTTATAAAAAACTTTTCACCTTACAGACTGATGGTGTACAAAAGGCACAAAGACTACGTCCGAATCGGTGCTGGTGAGGACTACAAATTACTCTCACGGAAGCCCTACACAGAACTAAGGAGTTTCAACGAGGCCACAAACCAGAGATTGCGATGAAGGACCTTGTCTCTACTTTACGAATGATTAAAGTGAGATTATCAAGCTCCGAAACGATCGTAGAAAATCTATTTATTTATTTATATGATATATCCGCTCTAGCAGAATTTTATTTAACGCTATAATCAAAGAAACAGATGTATCCTATCTTAAATTATGCAACAGATTTAAGAATTTGAAATATCTACATAGCATTCGTAGCAATGAATGCGTGTAGCGCCATCTATAGAACATAGGCTGAAGAAATACCCATTTGTATCAGAGCCATCTATGTAAATTTATGCTCAACTAATAATATTCACGCAGTTGATATTTCGTTAAAAAGAAAACCTTGTTTATTTTGTCTCCGATCTTTAGTAAGGTTTAAATTTATTGAATAAAAATAACGAGTTTCTATTAATTTTATTGTATTATGTAGGTAAAATGACGGTGTGAGATACCACTTCCAAAGTGCTGTGAATTGTGAGTTAGGGTATGGTTGGTTGAACATAGCTAAGGCTTGCGTCACGTTCGCAAGCGATTTGCGTTTAGTTAGCTTCGCCCTAATTTCGATATATTGTAAATAGTAGCTTAAATTTGTATTGCTTGTAAAGTAGTTTAGTTTAAGAAATTAAGTAGTAATTGTTTCAAACATTGTTAAGCTCAATTCCAATTTTCCTTTACATTTTACAGAAATTGTTGCGGTATGTTTCGCACTGTACCTTTAGTATTTATTACCATTATTTGTTGATAGCCTCTTACAAAGAAAAATAATGTAAAGACAGAATGCATTCAGTGAGGTTTTTTTAAGCACTTATTTGCATAAACCTTAAATTGAGAAAGGATCACTAATTAGACACTAGATGGCGTTTTTATTAATTTTTGTCGAAGCGTAGTCTAACGAAGCCGGCTTCCCTTAACAACATAATGGAGAGCGCACGAAAATTATAAAAACTGATACAATAAATACATTTTATTATTTGTTTTAAAATTATCAATTGTGATATTGACTGCACGGATAGCGTAGTGGTTTAAACGGTCGTCATGCAGCTTACTACTACGCTGAGTGTTGTGGGTTCGATCCCCACATGGGACGACACTTTGTGTCATCCACAAATTGTTGTTCTGAGTCTGGGTGTTCTTTGTGTCCGTTTCATGTATGTTTGTAAAGTCCCCCGCGACACAGGATTTATTCCTAGTGCAGGAGTTGTCTTTTATAAAGAAAAAGAAAAATAAAAAATATCATTTATCGCTACTTCTTGTGATCAAATCGCACGGCCTTCTGCAGATATTATAAGATACTAATGTTTAAGAATATTTAACATAGTCGTATTTTAGAAGCTCAATTTTTCTTTTCGAAAGCAACTAATGTTTGAATTATTGTGTATAAAATGTTATGAAATCGTAGTCTCATTATTTATTTTTATAAAAGTCCCTTCTTTTTTACAGAACTTAGATAAATATACCTCCGTATGAATAAAATGCTGGTCCTGTCATTTTAGTTCATGCAGTCTAATACTGTACGTGAATTTCTAAGTAAATTTGTCACCTTCGTTCTTCTAAGTCCTTACGAGTATACTAAGTTCTTGAAATTTGAATTAAGAATTATTCAGATAGAAATAAGTAAGGTTAAATCTAGACTTGCAACGAATATTCGGTTACTATTCGGTATTCGGCCTATTCGGCTGCTTTTATTATATTCGGCCAAATACCGAATACTTAAATAAAATATTTTGTCATTGAGAAATAATTGGTAAAATGAAAAATTAAAATCGATTGATTACGTATATATTCTTATTTACATTTCTGTTATAATCATTTAAGTAGTCATTGGTGCATAACACAGGTATATAATCATCTTCTGAATAGGAAAAATGGAGGATTCTATGTATTTGAATTATTGTGGTAATCAAAATTTAGAAGGGTAAGGTTCTCATTTCTTTTATAATCATTTATTAAGTAGTCATTGGTACATAAAACAGGTACATAATTTAATTCACGTCTGTACAAGTTTTTGGCGCTAAAATCCAGCCGAATACTTTTGCCTAATATTCGGCTATTCGGTCAGGGGCCTCGCCGAATATTCGGTATTCGGTATACTGCCGAATATACTATTCGTTGCAAGTCTAGTTAAATCACGTAAGTTATTATTATAAAACAGATCCTATTAACGCCATCTGTTGAATGATAGTCGAACTACTTGCGTTGCTAATGTTTCTCCTGGCTGACGTTGTTACTGCCTAGAATAACTACATCTGAAGTGTAGAAATGTAAAATATTGCCTTTATAAATATAAATATAGGTATATATATATTCATACACATGTCATAATTAGGCATGAGACAAAATCACAGTGAATTGTGAAAAACCGATGATTTATCGTATTTTTCGTACGTAGGTTAGGGTTACCACTTAATCACGCATTGTTGCCAATAAGCTGTTTTCAGACGATGCATAAAGACTCTTTTAGGAAATCCAGTAATTATTTTATTATATATAGCAACCATTCCCTAGATAATAATTTAAAAAATACTAGATTTACTGTTAAATAGCGTCTAACCGTTAAATAACGCCAAAATCAAATTATAAATCACAGTTCAATGTAATTTTGTCCCATGCCTAGTCTTAACTAATCTCATACAACCATTGTAATAGACTCGAGAGCAATGAATTCAGGTCACAAAAAGACAATTGACAATTAAATACTCATATAGTTTTTTTGTCACTTTATACTATAATCATAAAAAATAGGCATTAAAACATACATTTTCGTAATACATAGAAGAATGCTATCTAATTTACAATTATTTTAAACTATAGCCCTTTGTGTTACCGCCGTTTTTTTTATCTGATACTAGCTGGTGCCGGCGACTTCGTGGAATTTAATAACCGCTGTCTTAGTGAGTTCGATTCCCGGACCAGGCAAAAGGGTTTTTCGTAGAGAAAAAATAGCCTAAGCTACTCCTTATATAGACAGCTACTTGGTAGTAAAATATAATCAAAATCGGTACAGCTGTTTTGAAGATTACCCGGTACAAACAGACAGACAAAAAATACATATATAAACTGGGCCTCAATTCTGCTATTTTATGTTCACGCCAAGCCACTGTCAGACCACTGACACCCTATTGAGATGCCATCGAGTGGCCATTGGCATCGGTATAAATATCGGTAGTCTACACTAACTCAGTGTCTTTACAAAAAAGTATTGTAGTCAGTCATTACAAATGGATTTTTAGAAATAATTATGTTTTTCGGTGATAAATATTGATTTTCGATTGATGATCTGGAAGGAATCGGGCCCCTATCGATCGAGGGGCTCTGGGCACGTGCCCAGAGTGCCCACTGGGAAAAAGGGGCCTGCCGACGCTTGGTTTGAAGGTTTCAGTGTCTATAAAGATGAATTTGCTCTCGAGTGTATATTTACAAGTCAGATAGCGATAAAACGAAACTATTTATACTTATATATAGTAATAAAGAGTATTATTAGATTTTTATTTAGCGTAGTTTTTAAGTAGATAATTCTTCATTTACTATTCGCTGTATATTTTGTAAAGTGTGTGCATTTATATTATGTACGAATGCGGTTTCAAAATATTATGCTTCTTTTAAATATTATTAAAAAAAAACAGTTTTTTTTCTTTTTAACATTTACATGCTTTCTAAATCATGATCTAATCGTATAATTATTGGTAAATAAACAATATATATTAAAGGGTTTGTTGCGAAAACCAGATAAGTACAGGCAAATAAATTTAATATTACGTTTTAAAACTTTACAAGTAACTAAAATGCGACACTTTCAATAAGTATTGAATTCTTTATTAGCACAACAAAAAGAAAAAAACGACGGGTTGCACTCCGGGAGTGCCGGCAGAAGTGAAAACTTGAATATTAACGTTGTGCATTTTTGATATTTTGGAATGGTTAGGAAATAATTTTGCACGAATTGCTTTAATTATCAGTATAAAAGTACTATCATTTATGTGGTAGAATACAATATTTATTTATTGCGCTATCGTACACAAACATGACAATTTATATTACATTAAAAAGTTTATCTCTCAGAAAAACGAACATACGCGCAAGCGCCCTGCGCAGCACAGCAGGCGCAGGCATACATTTTCGCCGCGCCGTAGAAAGAGAGGGGAAACTTCCTCTCCTACGCCGCGCCGGCTGTCTACTCTCCATCCGTTTTACGAATTTTCGATCAGGGTCACGTGTCCTGACGCGAGTATAACATTTTTTACCCATTACAAAAAAGTGTACAACGCCGCTAAAGAAGTTTTCAGTTCAAAAAGAAAAAAAAAGATTTTTTGCAGTCGTAAAGTATCAGAGACTTAAGCCCGCCTACACCATGATAATAATAATATTTCGGCCATCTAACACACAACGCCATCTAGTTTCTAACTAAGTAGAGCTTGTATTATGAAAGCTAAATTGACTGTTTCTTTTTTGTAAATACATACATATTGTACATAGGAAACACCAGAACGCCGAAACAAATATTTGCAGATCATACAAAGACTTGGTTCGACCCGGGAATTAAACCCAAGAACTCATCACATCAATTTCATACACTACCACCGAGGTAGTACGATGAAATTTTACTAAACTGTATTCTTCTTTCCTTAATTTTCATCACAGGTGATGTTTCCTTTAAATGTGAATGCGATCGAACGAACAGTAAATCAACCCACATTTTTTTTTAACAAATCAGTTCATAAATTACAGTCATAGTAGTTCTAAGGAACCATTAATAAGAACAATCGATAAAAGAACCTCATCTTCTCTTAAGGTCGGTAAATAATATAAAAAAAATATTACACATCCCAATTTTGACTGCACGGATGGTGTAGTGGTTTAAGCGGCCACCTCGCCGCTTCCTACTACGCCGAGTGTTGTGGGTTCAAACCCCACATGGGACAACACTTTATGTGATCCACAAATTGTTGTTCTGAGTCTGGGTGGTCTTTGTGTCCGCTTCATGTATGTTTGTAAAGTTCCCTGCGACACAGGGA